GGCAGGCCGTCCTCCTTGAAGACAGGTGCTCTCGGGAGGCGCCCGGCCCAGCACTGCTGCCACTGGCACAAGGCAGGCCCCAGGGACCCGGACCACCCCTCACCCATGGTCGCTGCCCGCGCGAGCTGGAGCTGGGACCTGGCCAGTGCCTGCTCTACACATGCTCCATCTCCTGGTCCTGGTCGGGCCCATCCTCCTGGTCCCCGTCGTCCTCATCCCCGTCAGCGCCCACCCTGCCCAGTGGCGCCTCGCCGTCCCGGGCCAGCTCCTCCACGTGCGCCAGCATGTCGGCCATCAGCGCCTCCTCCAGCCGCTTTCGGACCTGCTGCACCAGTTCCTCCTGCCTCCTGCGGACACAGGAAGACCCGCTGGCCAGGGCACGTCCATTTCTGTGGAGACGGGGGCGCTGCGAGCGCCCCGTCCAGACAGACGCCCCCGCCCCCGGCCCCAGCACAGCCCCCAGGCCCTCCCCAAATCAGCACCACTGAGGGTGGCTGCCGGCCCGGGCCAAGGACCCCTGTCCCCTCCCTGCCGCCTCTAAGGTGCCCCCGTCAGCACGTGGACCTGACTCTGTGCCTGTCGCTCCCCTCCACCGGCCACGAGTCCCTCCTCCCAGCAGGACCACAGCCACTGCCACTGCTGGACCTCACACCTACGGTTCCCACCTCACTGACTTTCTATTTCTGCAAGTTGTGCTTTAAAGATCTGCCTGGACTTTTCAGACAGTCGTGTTCTTTTCCTGCCCTTTCCCTAGGGATGAGCCCTGTGCAGACACGTATGTGAATGTGCACATGTGTATGTGTGTGTATGTGTACATGCATGTGTGTACACATGTGTACATGCGTGTCTGTGTGTACGTGCAATGCACGCCTATGTACACACGTGTGTACCTGTGTGTGTGTGTACGTGTGTACATGTGTGTGGTCTCACTGCCGTGTCCTCGCCTCTCTCGGGGCACAGGGCTGCCCTCTCGCACCCACGTGGCTTTTACCTGCAGTCCCGAGACTGCCCCCCACAGCACTCCAGGTGCAGCTGCTCTGCCTTCCAGCCCCTCCTGTGGGCTCCTAAGCGCCCCCCCCGGCCTTCTCCCAACCTCAGCTGTGCACTGATGTTTCAAAGCTGAACATGACGCATGTTCTACCCTCAGCACCTCTAGATGTTTCCTGCCCAGGAGCCACTTCCAACCACCTTCCAGGAGGCCCTCCCAGACAGCTCTACCCGCACCTGGACACCACCCACGGGGTCCTGGCCAAGCACAGGCCCAGCATCCAGGGCCGGGACGCGCCCTGCTTCCCCTCAGCCCACCCTGCCCGGTCCTGCGTGTGCCAGTGCCCCCCGATCCAGGGCCTCACAGCCCACGTGCAGTCCCGCTCAGGGGAGCCATCGCAGGGCCAGGAGCCCTGTCCCCTCCCGCCCCCGCAGGCTGCCCCACCCCCCAGGCGCCTGCCTGTCTGAACCCAGCCCTCCCCCGGCCACTTCCGCATCACACCTGGACACTGTCGGGGTGCCCCCGGCCCCAGCACAGCCCCCAGGCCCTCCCCAAATCAGCACCACTGAGGGTGGCTGCCGGCCCGGGCCAAGGACCCCTGTCCCCTCCCTGCCGCCTCTAAGGTGCCCCCGTCAGCACGTGGACCTGACTCTGTGCCTGTCGCTCCCCTCCACCGGCCACGAGTCCCTCCTCCCAGCAGGACCACAGCCACTGCCACTGCTGGACCTCACACCTACGGTTCCCACCTCACTGACTTTCTATTTCTGCAAGTTGTGCTTTAAAGATCTGCCTGGACTTTTCAGACAGTCGTGTTCTTTTCCTGCCCTTTCCCTAGGGATGAGCCCTGTGCAGACACGTATGTGAATGTGCACATGTGTATGTGTGTGTATGTGTACATGCATGTGTGTACACATGTGTACATGCGTGTCTGTGTGTACGTGCAATGCACGCCTATGTACACACGTGTGTACCTGTGTGTGTGTGTACGTGTGTACATGTGTGTGGTCTCACTGCCGTGTCCTCGCCTCTCTCGGGGCACAGGGCTGCCCTCTCGCACCCACGTGGCTTTTACCTGCAGTCCCGAGACTGCCCCCCACAGCACTCCAGGTGCAGCTGCTCTGCCTTCCAGCCCCTCCTGTGGGCTCCTAAGCGCCCCCCCCGGCCTTCTCCCAACCTCAGCTGTGCACTGATGTTTCAAAGCTGAACATGACGCATGTTCTACCCTCAGCACCTCTAGATGTTTCCTGCCCAGGAGCCACTTCCAACCACCTTCCAGGAGGCCCTCCCAGACAGCTCTACCCGCACCTGGACACCACCCACGGGGTCCTGGCCAAGCACAGGCCCAGCATCCAGGGCCGGGACGCGCCCTGCTTCCCCTCAGCCCACCCTGCCCGGTCCTGCGTGTGCCAGTGCCCCCCGATCCAGGGCCTCACAGCCCACGTGCAGTCCCGCTCAGGGGAGCCATCGCAGGGCCAGGAGCCCTGTCCCCTCCCGCCCCCGCAGGCTGCCCCACCCCCCAGGCGCCTGCCTGTCTGAACCCAGCCCTCCCCCGGCCACTTCCGCATCACACCTGGACACTGTCGGGGTGGGGGTGGGGGGCTACCTGATGTCCTCGTCGGTCACCATGAAGGCCTTGCAGAGCGGCTGGGCCGTGTTGAGCCACACCCCGGGGTTCTTCTCCACGGCGGCTGAGAGCTGCCCGGTGATGGGCATGGTGCTGGTGTGCAGGGCACTGGCGATGGCCGAGAGCAGCGTCTCATCCGTGCAGCCGGGACCCACGCCTGCCGGGCAAGGGAGGGTGGTCGCTGCGGGCACCAGCCTTGCCCCCTCAGCCCCGATTTCACCCTGAACCTCCCTTTACAGCAGGCCCTGCCCAGTCCTGCGTGTGCCAGGGCCTCACAGCCCATGGGCAGCCCCACTCAGGGGAGCCGTCGCAGGGCCAGGAGCCCTGCCCCCCAGGCGTCTCCCCGTCTGAATTGAGCCCTCCCTGGCCATTTCCATGTCATACCCGGACGCTGGAAGGGGGCGGTCACTCCACGACATACAGGGAGACAACTACCCTCTCAGGGACAGCAGGGATGCTTTTATGGCGCGGCAGGGAAACCAGAGCCCCGAGTGTTTTCAGGACCCCGTGACCAGACGCGGCCCCAGCGTCAGGTGCAGCCCGGCTGGCCCCAGGCTGGGGGAGCACGGGCCTCACCCCTCCTCCACCTCCCCCTTGCCCCTGCAGGGGGTCACCTTGCAAGCCCTTGGGGAGGTCCATGGTCTTCACGAGCTCCTCCGCGATGTCAAAGGCGTTCAGGCCGCTCAGCTTCTTCTCCCAGAAGAGCTGCCGCCACACAGACAGACGTCAGGCCGACGGGATGGCCAGGCCACCTGCTCCCCCAGCAGGCGACCCTAGGCAGCCAGGATGGGGGTCTCAGTGTGACCTCTGACCCCCACACTTGCTGGGGCTGCTCGCGCCCCAGGATCCTCGCAGGGCAGAGAAACCCCAAGCCCTGTTTCCGGCAGGACGAAGACCCAGGACGTCAGATGCGCCATCGGACAGTCTGTGGCTCCCCTTCACCCTGGAGTTGGGGGTTGGGAGGTCCAACCTCCACCCCGGGCCAAGCCACGGGCCCAGGGCAACAGCCCCGGCTGACCCCTGCCACAGCCCGAACAAGCGCTGTCCGTGGGCACCGCCTGGTACAGACAGGGGACCCAGGAGCCCCCGGAAGGGCAACAAGCTCACACCCTCGACTGCACCTCCAGACTCTGCGGAGGGGGGCGACAGGCAGCCCCACAGGTTTCTGACCTGTTATCTAGAGGGCTCCAACCCAAATGGCACAGCACCCAGGGCGGCTGCCCATGGCGGGGCCCATGCCCTGCAGGGTCCCTGAGCGTCTCCCCCTCTGACGGCCACGGCCCCCTGCTCTGGCCTAGCACCTCCACACCCCGCTATCTACTGGGCGTTTGTAAAGATGCATGAAAACACAGCTAAGGCTCAGTTTTTGGAAAACAGATCACAAAACTGCATTTGTGGGATCTTATCAATCTGTTCAAGACAGCGGCCGGCCCGAGGAGGCCCCGCATACGCGTGTTGGGCGCTGGTGCCCGCAGGACCGTGCCCTGGGGTGACGGCTCCTGACCACGGCGCTGGGGCCCCGGGCCCGCCGTCTCAGCTCTAAAGAGAGGACCAAGCGCCAGAGCTCACCTGCCGGGGCTGCTCCACGGCCTTCTGGGGGTCGCTCTTCACCTTGTTGCTGGGGTGGTTGGTGATCTTGGTCACTGGCTGCTTGAAGATGGACGCCGTCTGCCTGACCGGGAGGGCCGTGTTCAGGTCGGGCTTGCCCTGCAGGGTCGGGCGGGGTCCTCAGCGGGCTTTCCCCGTCAGCGAGAAAGCCGTGCCCCGCAAGGGGCTTCGGGGGACAGGCCCCAGTCACCAACACACCCCGTGGCACCCACGGACCCGGAGGCAACGCCAAGCCCAGGCCCAGCCGCTTCGCTGCCCTCGGTGCGGCCGCAGGGGGGGCTCCGGACACACACCTGCTCTCTCTCACCCCACCACCACCCCTCTCACCTCCCGCGCCTCGTCCTCCGCAGAGAACGGGCCTTGGGGCGCCCTGGCCACCTCTGTTCTGCAGCCGGGGCAGGGAACAAGGTCCCCCGAACACGCGTCCATCAAAGACCCGCAGACACACTGGTCACCAGGCGCCCAAGCGTGGACCAGAGTTGAGCCACCTCCCAGGCCCCGTGCCCGAGCCTCTCCTGGGGACAGGTGATGAGCGGTTTCCTGTCTTCTTTCTGCTTCTCCACAGCTGCTGGGCTCCCCCCAGTGAGTAGCTAGGCCTCTAACTCCAGGACGGTGGGTGAGCCCTACCCAGCAGCGGTCGGCATGGGCTCACCTTGACCTGGCTCGGGGAGTCATAGCGCACCCGCTGCCGGCTCTTATTCATCTTGCCCATCAGCATCTTGCCCGTGCGGAAGTCGAAGGTGCTCAGGTCCATGGAGCCGCCCAGGTAGCGCGCCAGCTGGGGCTTGCTCCGGAACTTCTTCCCGCTCGGGCTGCAGACACAGCGCGGTTAGCGGCGGGGGGCGCCGGGCCAGGCCGCTCCACCCTCTCCCCAGCGCAGCAGATGCCGAGGCCGAGAGCAGGGATGGACGCCCTGGCCTTCGGAAGGATGGGGCCCAGCCCTGGGAGCCTGGCTGGAGTTTCTGGAACATTCCAGAAGCAGGATCTGGCCATGTTCTCGAGAAAAGACCCAAGGATAGCAGGTCCGTTACAGCATTATGAACCTGTCCTGGGGGGGCTGCGCTGTAAAACCTCAGTTTTGGGGCTCTTTGGGCACCAAAGAGCTGCCCAGGCGGGACCTGCTGGGAAAGCCTGAAACCTGGCTGTGAAGCTCTGCCATCCTGCTCACCCCACGGGCCGGCACAGGGGACTCACCTTCCTAGGAAAAGCTAACGCCAACCTCTAGCTGCAGTGCAGACTCAGAGCTCATGCTACAGGTGACCAGAATGGGACCCAGTGAGCATTAATAATGACACGTCCCTGGGCACGGGGACTCCTGCAGCCACTTTGGGAAACAGTCTGGTAGCTCCTCTAATGGTTAAAGAGCAATTCCACCCCTAAGTATCCAAGAGAAATCAAAACACATGTCGACATAGTAACTTACACCTAATTACTCACAGCAGCATGACTCACCGGGCAGAGTGAAAACAGCCCAGATGTCCCTCCACACATGGGAGCATCACTCAGCCATGAAAAGGAGAGAAGCCCTGACACTCGCTACAACGTGGACAGACCTTGAGACACGATGCTCAGTGAGAGAAGCCAGACACAGAAGGACACACAGTGTGTGATTCCACTGATGGGAAACGTCCAGAACAGGCAAATCCAGAGACAGAGAGTGGGTTCCTGGCTGTCAGGGACTGGGGCTTCTCTTTGGGGTTATGGAATGTTCTGGAATTAGTGGTGATGGTTGCACAGCCCTGAATGTACTAGAAACCAGTGAGCGGCACACATGATCCTCCAGCAGGCCTGGCACCCGTCTAGGACGTCCCTGTCACTCTCCATCTGAGGCTAACGAGGGCCTGCACTTTGCTGATCTCCCGAGAGCCTCTAGGCTGAGCCTGAATTCAAGCCAGCACACGCCCACCCCCTCCTGGGCACTGCGGACAAGTGGCAAAAGTGGGAAGAGTGGAACCCCTTCCAGCCCCACCAGGGCCTCACCTGGGTCAGGGCCAGCCCCACCATCTTGGGTTCTGAGACCCCCGTGGACTCTTCTAGAGGATCCATTTTTCCGTTATGCTCTGTGCTGGCTGACATGAACAGAGTCCACGTGCCTGGAGCAGCGGAAAGGACCCTGAGTCCCGACTCTGGCTCCAACTATGGCCACAAAGAGGGCCAGGACCCTGACAAGCACTCGCCAGCACTTCTTGGCCTCCAGTCACCCCACCTGCTGCTGTTCTGCTTTAAAAAAATGCATGAAGACAGGGAAACAGAAACGCAGAACTGTAGATTAGGGGCTGGGGAGCAGGGCTAAGGGCAGAGATAGTTAAAGGTCTAGGGCTCTTCTGGGAGGAGGAAAAGGCTCTAACTTTGACCGTGGTGGTGGGTCCAGCTACCTGTGAACTGTACGCTTTACACTGGTGAACAGTACGGCTTGTGACTCCTACCTCAATGAAGCTGTCACAAAAGTGAACGCAAGACAGAGTGGATGGGGGCTACGAGGAGCTGGGGAGCTAATGGACACAGGGCTCATTTTGGTGTGATGAGAACATTCCGGAACTAGAGAGTGGTGATGGGTGCATGAAAACTGCTGAACTGGACATTTTTAAAGACTGAATCGTATGGAATGTGAACTATATCTCAATTTTAAAAACAGGTTTTGTAGATCTGTATTGGGACAGAAAAATATCTGAGCTGTTTTATCCAATGAAAGAAAAAAACTTCTGTAGTAAAACCACAGGTGTAGAACAAAAATGAGCACTGTGGTCTTTCTAGGGGAAAAGGCCTACCCGGTGGAGTAGACAGGTAGCCGGTGGAGTAGACAGGTAGCCGGAAGCCTGGTGGCCCTCGGCTGAGTCGGTAGGACCCTGAAGCACTGGGGCCGTCATGGGGATGGAGCCAGCACCAAGCGCGGAGCCCAGGGCCTGGGCCGGATGCAGGGCTGTACGAGGGGTGATGAGTGGGTGTTGACCCCAGGCCTCCTTCTGGCCAAGCTGAGCCCGCTGCCCAAGGAAGGGGGTCAACCTGCCGAGCACTTCCTGCTTTCCTGAGTATCTGCACCTTTAAAATGACCTCTGGGGTCTCCCCTGGTGGCGCAGTGATTAAGAATTCGCCTGCCAAGGCAGGGGACACGGGCTCGAGCCCTGGTCCGGGAAGATCCCACATGCCGCGGAGCAACTAAGCCCATGCGCCACAACTACAGAGCCTGCGCTGTAGAGCCCACGAGCCACAACTACTGGGCCCGCGTGCCACAACTACTGAAGCCCACACACCTAGAGCACATGCTCCACAACAAGAGAAGCCAATGCAATGAGAAGCCCACACACAGCAACGAAGAGTAGTCCCGCTTGACGCAACTAAAGAAACCCCGCGTGCAGCAACGAAGACCCAATGCAGCCAAAAATAAATAAATAAAATAAATAAATAAATAAATTTATTTATTTAAAAAAAAAAGCTCTGTGACTTCCCTGGTGGTCTAGTGGTTTAAGCCTCCACGCTCCCAAGGCAGGAGGCGTGAGTTCTATCCCTTGTCAGGGAACTAGGATCCTGCATGCTGCAATGGTGCAGCCAAAAAAAAAAAAGCTCTGGAAAGTCCTCTCTATTCCACACACCCCAAAGAATGACGCTAAATTCCAAGTCCTCAACTTCTGGCCTGGATTGTAAATGTCAGGCAGGGAGATGATTTTTCCAAAGAAAATGCTCGGCTGTAACCAGATGCTCCACCCCCATCTCCCAGTCCTTAGGGCCAGGTCACCAAGCTGGAGGGGTGTGTGGGTGAGTCCTACAGAACGGTCCGTGAGATTGCTCCACCTCTCCTGCAAAGAACACACTGGCTCTCTCCCACTCTCCGGACTAGCAAATCAAGGTTCCACATCCCTAGGGGCAGGGCTAAGACCCAAGGACAGGTCTGTCCGACTCAACAGCACCGGAGATCTGCTTTCCCTCTGCATTAAGGAACCAGGAAGGGACTTCCCTGGTGGTCCAGCAGTTAAGACTCCGCGCTCCGGGCTTCCCTGGTGGCGCAGTGGTTGAGAGTCCGCCTGCCGATGCAGGGGACACGGGTTCGTGCGCCGGTCTGGGAAGGTCCCACATGCCGCGGAGCGGCTAGGCCCGTGAGCCATGGCCGCTGAGCCTGTGCGTCCGGAGCCTGTGCTCCGCAACGGGAGAGGCCACAACAGTGAGAGGCCCGCATACCGGAAAAAATAAAAATAAAAATAAAAAAATACTCCGCGCTCCCAATGCAGGGGGTCCAGGTTCAATCCCTGCTCAGGGAACTAGATACTTATCCCGCAACTAAAAGATCCCACATGCCACAACTACAGATCCCGCAAGCAGCAACGAAGATTCCATGTGCCGCAACTGAGACCTGGCGCAGCCAAATAAATAAAGATTAAAAAAAAAGAGAGAGAGAACCAGGGAAATCCATCTGTGCTCCCTGCCTAGTCACCTGGCTCGGCATCGGGTGGTGAGAAGGCCAAGGGCCCACGTTCCAAAAAAGATATCACATCCCCCCCAGACCTCCGACCTGCTGGGACAGGGTAGGTCATCCACACCAGAGACCTGGGAGTGGCACTGGACCCTGCACCCCGCATCTTGTCTCAGGCCCTCACTTCTCATTGGAGTCGTGGGAAAACTGAAATTCCATCTGTCCAGCCCCAGTCTGGAGCCGTTCCCTACCACCAGACCCCTATGCTCAGGGGCGGGGCCTTGGAGCGGGGTCCCACTTGATGAAAGCCCGGAGAGGTTCCCAGGCAGGTGGGGACAAGAGGTGAGGCGATGACGGGCTGCGGCCCTCTAGCCACGCTGGCCCCGGTTCAGCTCCTGAGCCTCCTCACAGGCTGCTGGCGCTGCCTGGACCCTCCTCCTGGCCCCACTGCCAGGGCTCCCCTCTGTGCTGCCTCTCCAGACAAGCCCTCACTGACCCGCCCCCAGCTCGATGAGGCACTCCCATCATCTGCCCCTCACAGACCCCCACATCTCTCTGCATATGTCATCACCTGTTAACTATGAAAGCAACGGGGTGATGGCTGGGGCACCAGCTGTCACCCAGGAGGGGAGGGCCCAGGTCTCACTCCCAGCTGAATGGCCAGGACACCCAGCATGTGCTGCAGAGGCATCTGTTAAATTAACAAAGGACTAGAGGAACAGAGATCTGCCTCAGTCTTCAGACCTAAAAGGAAGAAATGAGAACACAAGTGTGCTCAGAATTAAATGAGGGGAGGTGGTGAGAGGCCTCTTCACACACCCAGAAGCTTCTCTAAACAGCCAGCGAGGGAGTGACGTCACAGACAGCCGCAGTGAGGGGGAATACACACGTTTCCCTAAAAGATGATCGTAACCCCACTATTTCATGCTTGACATTACGAGAGGGGCAGCCAGTTACAGTACACACTGGAGGGCCACCAGCACTCTCTGGACGCTAGAACCTCAGCTTGTCTTGGATGAGCTGCCATCCTTACCCTGCTCACTTCCTTCACTCCTCCCAAAACGAGGACAGCAAAGGCCCAGGACCTGCTGCACACCCCCAACACCTGGCAGGCATTCAACACGTGGCAGGTGTCCCGCCTGCTTTTCTTTTGTCAGGGTCCTAAAGCATAAGGGGAGGGAGCCATCAAGCCTGGCTCAGAAACAAAAGCATCTTCCACCAATCAGGAGAAAAAAAAAAAAGGAAGGAAAAGGCAAACAGCAGGTGGTTGACGGTCTGGGGCTGGGCTTCCAGCCGCCTACTGATTCTGTTTCACTAGGGGTGGGGGTGGGGTCCCTGCCACCTCTCTCAGGCCAAGGGCAGCCCTCCCTCCAGTTTGGGTGAGGGAAGCTCACAAAGGCCGCGTCCCCGGTCTGGCGACTGGAGAGGCCACTACCCACGGTGCCCAAGGATGGGGGTGGGGCGGCTCTTAAAAGACACGCAGCTCCAGGACCAGGCCACCCTGTGAAGGGCCCAGAAACCTGCATCCCTAGGCAGCCCTCTCTGGTCCCCCAGAGCGAACCCTGCTCCCTGAAACCCGGGATCCCCACCTGACCCAGGCTGCGCGCGGCCCCAGGAGCGCCCCACGAGGACCAAAGGGACAGCCCAGCCCCCACCCCCGCCTCCCAGCGGCGTCTGGCCCGTGCCGGGGTGCCCCTTGCCCAGCCGGCCGCTTCGCCGCGGCCGCCGAACAAAGACCGCCGCCAGCCCGGGGCCGGTCCCAGGACTGCGGCTGCGGGGGGAGCGCAAGCACACTGAGCGAAAGCTTCGCGGGCACGCACGCGCACTGGGCTCGGACCCGCCGGGCACGCACGCGCACTGGGCCAAGCGCCCGCCGCGCGCCGGCACGCACGCACGCATGCACGCACAACGCACGCGCGGGGCCCAGGCCGCGGCCCGGGTCGGGGCGCCCAGGCCGCCGCAGAGGCCGCTGGGAGGCGCCCGTTGGGGCCCTGCCCGGCCGGCACGTTCATTCACCTATAGTAAAAGACATCCCTGTGGCCGGCCGACAGCCCCGACCTTCTGGGCACTTCTTCCCTCTCCCAGCCCTGCGGGAGCGCCGGGCACTCCCACCTCTTCCGCTCCATCGCGCCCGGCTCCTCGGCCCGCCGCCGCCGCTGCCGCCCGGACCCCCGCTCGCCGCCGCCGCCTCAGCTGCCTCCGCCGCTGCCGCCGCCACTTGCCGCGGCTGTTCCGGCCCGTGGGCCTCCGCCCTCCGCCCCAAGCCGGGCGCGCGCCGGCTTTGCCGCCCTTTCGGCCCCCTCCCCGCGCTCGCCAGCCCCCGCTCGGGGGGCCCGCTCCGCCCACCCGCCCGCGCGCGGGGCCCCGTGCTGCGCAGGCGCTGCACAGGTCCCGCCCCGCCCGTGGCCTCCGGCCCCGCCCCTCGGCGGCGGCGCCAATCAGCGCGCGGCCTGAAGGTGGGGCCTGCGGCGGCGCGCGGCTCGTCCGCTCCGCGCATGCGCCCTGGCCCGCCTGCAAGTGGCTAGTGTCCTCTGCTTGCCGCTGCGCTGTCCGCCTTGGTCTCTCTCCCGCGTCTCCTCCGAGGCCCCGTCTGTGTCCCAGGATGCCCGTCCAGTGCCGGACCGCCATCACGCCGCCTCCCTGGTCTCGTCACTGGCATCCGCGTTTAGGGTCATTGTCGGTGACCACCCACCTCCACACCCCAAGGCCCACCCGACGCTTTAATGACATATCAGAATCCGGGCCCCTCTTCCTGCCTCCTCCTTAGGCCAGCCGCTTTCTGTCTCCTGGGGCTCCAGGCCCTTACTTGGGAATCTCCCGCCCCACCTTGTGTCCCCTCTCCCTCCCCCAGGCCCTCTCCTGCCTGCCCTGCTCCCCCAGGGCAGAGCCTGGCCGGCCCAGGTCAGGTACTTAAGAAAAGACTGCTGAGTGAGTGGCCTTAGCTGTGGGCAGTGCCAGGTGCGGGCTGGGCCTCCCGACGGGCCTGTCCTGGCGTCGGGTCCCTGGGGGAGGGGGAGGCTGTGGGTGGGAAGGCCCTGGGCTCCCCCGAAGGCAACAGGCCTGGGCCGCGCACCTGGAGCTCCCTGCAGGTGTCTTCGCAGCCTTGGGCCCCCCCCAGGTCCCTGCTCTAGTTGGAGGCGGGGCTTGGGCAGGACACCGAAGACCATGGCCCGCAGGTGTCACTTGTTTATTTATATTAAGTACCCGGGTAAGTGCAATTTCTCAATTCCTTAACGTCCCTTTCCCTCCTGGGTTCCCCAAGGGGTAGCTGGGCTGCTCTCCCACAGACAAAGGGCATAGTGGCCGGGAGGCACCCTGATCGGCGAGCGGTCACCCCGTTACAAAGCTGGTTCGGGGCACTGTATGCCTGTGTGCAGGTCAGGGCCAAGCGCAGCGCTCCAGGACCTGGCCTTCCACAGAGGGCAGTGCTGGTCGCTGTTGTGTTTTCTCCCAGTGTGTGCGACTTCGTTTTAATTTAAAAATCAAAGTTGCAAAGACAGACGCGTGCATTTTAATCAGTGAAAGCACGTGAAGACTCTTAAAGGAAAAAATTGTCAGCCTTCCTGTGAGGAGACCCCAGCACCACCCCAGCCCTGCTTTTACTTCTCTTGGGTGCACACCCAGAGCTGGAATCACTGGATCACGTGGCGATCCTACATTTTTTTTGTTTTTGTTTTTGTTCATTTTTTGAGAAGGGCAAAACATTAATATATTTTTTGTAACTTTTATACAGTTTTCAAAGTGTGCTTTCCATTTACAGTTATTACCAAATATTGGCAATATTGCTCATGTCCTACAGTACATCCCTGAGCCAGTCTTACACCCAACAGTTTGTACCTCCCACCCCCGACCCCTATCTTGCCCCTCTCCCCCTCCACTGGTAACCACTAGTTTGTTCTCTATATCTGTGAGTCTGCTGCTTTTTTGTTGCTGTATTTTTTAGATTCTATAGATGACCAGGATCATACAGTATTTATCCTTGTCTGACTTATTTCACTTAGTGTAATACCTTCCAAATCCCTCCATGTTGATGCAAATGGAAAATTTTCCTTTTTTATAGGTAATATTCTATTATATATATGTACCACATCTTTATCCATTCATCTGTTCCTGGACACTTAGGTTGCTTCCGTGTCTTTGCTATTGTAAATAATGCTGCTCTGAACATTGGGGTGCATGTATCTTTTTGAATTAGTGTTTTTGTTTCTTTTGGATATATACCCAGGAGTGGAATTGCTGGGTCATATGGTACTTCTATTTTTAGTTTTTGCAGAAACGTCCTTATCATTCTCCACAGTGGCTGCACCAATTTACAGTCCCACCAACAGTGTAGGAGGGTTCCCTTTTCTCCACAACATTCTCACCAACATTTTTTATTTGTAGACTTTTAAATAATAGTCATTCTGACAGGTGTGAGGTGATACCTTATTGTGATTCTGATTGGCATTTTTCTGGCGATTAGTGATGCTGAGCATCTTTTCATATGCCTGTTGCCCTGTGTTTAATTTTTTGAGGAACTGCCAGACTGTTGTCCACTGTGGCTGCCCCATTTCCCATTCCCACTAGCAGCGAACAAAGGTTCTGATTTCTCCACATCCTCCATTGTTATTTCCTGGGTTTTGACAGTCGTATACCCATGGACGTGTGGTGTTGGATTTGACCTCATGGTTGGATGATGGAAATGCAATGCCTCCACCTCAAGAACCAGCCCCGCCGGTCTCACTTGCTACTCAGGGAATCTGAACCCCTCGGGCCCAGGCTGACCCCAGAGCATAGACAGTGGGTCTCTGGGGGTTACTTGGCCCGAGCCAAGGACTGTCCTCAAGGGACTGGTCCAGAGGCCTGACCGGGAGGGTGGCCGTGACCCAGGGTGCTGGCGGCAGACGCAGAGACGAGAGGCCAGGAGGCCTGGATGGGAGGGACGGGGGCTGCCCAGCTCCTCTCCCGTTGGGCTGGGCGCTGCTCCTTTGAAATAAACTCTGCCCAGGCCTGCTGGCCCAGTCCCCAAGCAGACACCTTCTCCTGCCCATCTCCACAAGGTGAAAGATACAAATTAAACCAGGAGGGGCCATGTGAGGACCTTGAAAAGACTTTCGGAGGCAGGGTCTCTCTGCCCTGCAACTGCTGGTATCGGGGCCAGCGCATTCTCTGTGGGGTCATCCTGGGCACTGCGGGGTGTGGAGCAGCATCCCTGGCCCTGCCCACTCATGCCAGGAGACCCCCCTGAGTCGTGACAACCACAGATGTCCCCAGCCAAGCATTCCTG